GACATTCAGGGCAGGCATTATCAATGGTGGGCGGATATACGAAATCCAATTCCAACTCTTCCACTCTTCCAAATCTTCCACTCCAAGTCCCCTCCAAGCTCTATCCCTCATTACCAGCCCCCCCTCAGCAGCCATTGGAGAGCCTCTACAACGAAACATGTCTGAGGCGATTGTCGAGGAGAGAAATTGCAAACCAAATGGCATTGTAATCAACGAAGCCGAAGAACCACAACCACAGCCACAGCCACAGCCCCAACAAACAGAACCACAGAAAGAGAGAGTCGAAAACGGTACTGCAAATCAGCGAGAATCAGAGATAGAGAGCGACTCGATTGACTACATCGATGCAACATTAAAGATAGTGGAGGCCTTCGAGAGTGACGCGTGCTATGCCACATTGGAAAAGGGCAACGTCAAGCCAAAAAAGAAAACGGTGAGCTTCAATCCAAACGACGAGAAGATACGCAAGTTTACGACGGGCGAGCCGATTGTTGATCAAAAGAATCCCTTCCGGAATGGCCACATAGCGGGTGGAGGAGTAGGAGGAGGCGTAGCCAAGGAGAAGAAGACACCGCCGCCAGTGCCCACGAAGCGTTCGACATTGAGCGTACGCAAGACGGTCACCCAACAGTTGCGCGAACGCGAACGAGAACGCGAAAAGGAACGAGAGCGGGAGCGAGAACGAGAACGAGAGCAGCAGAAGAACGAGACGAATGCGCGCAAGAAGAACGGAAAGGTGCAAGCTACAGGTGCTGAGGAGTACATAACCACCGAGGAAGTACTTAAGCAATCGAAATATGTAAAGACATACATTAAGAACCCAGACGCCTATTTCGTCTACGATCCCACAGTGCTCGCGCGCCTCAAGAGCGAAGAGGAGGAGCAGCAGCAGCAGCAGCAGCAGCAAAAGGAGCAGCAGCAGCAAAAGGAGAAGGAGATACCCAAGCGCAAGCAAACGGGCATCAATCGCTATAAAGAGCCCAAGGCAATTAAGCAGCCCAAATTGAATCACAATCCGAAAACATTCAAAAAGTGCTCGAAGCCCAATTATCCGGAATTGGCCAATATCAAGATACGAACGGGCACTCCCGACACCGAGGGCGACTTTTTCAATGCCGCTGAGGTCACCAAGAACGCCAAGAAGTTCGACGAGCGCGTGAAGAAGCTGCAGATAAGCTCCGACGACGATCTGGATGAGATCGATGGACCACTGACCAAGAGCGAGTCCAGCGACGATCTCTCCCAACCAAATACGAACGGCAATCAGGAGGAGAACCTCACGCCTCAGGACATGAGCAGCAGCCAGCAACAGCAGCAGCCGGCGGTCTCAAAGGATCACGAGCCACCCTCGACCTTCACGAACACCATCAGCTCTGAGGAGTTTCAGGCCTATCTGGAGCGCAAGGGTCTGGCCTTGATGCCCAAGCGGGAGCTGGGCGCCACACCCTCGCCCACGGCGTCTCCCATGGCCTCGCCCTCGCCCTCGGCGTCGTTGCTAAGGACACCAGAGGAGCGGCGCCAGCAGGTGGCCGAGTCGCTGGCCGCCCTGCGCCAAAGCAACACCAAAAAGCTGTCCGTGCTGCAGCGCCTCTCCAACAGCTTGTTCGCGCCCAAGCGCAAGACAACGCCCAAGCCGGTGATGCCCATGCCCAGGTCCGTTTACGGGCAGGGCCCGGAGGAGTACCGCAAGGCCAGTGGCGGAGATGTGCCCACGGAGATGCGGCGCATACTGCTGGAGCGACAGAGCCATCAGAATCAGAAACAGAACCCCAACTCGAACGGTCGTCTGCCGAATGGACAGGCCATGCGACCCTCCTCCGAGTATACCAACGGCCATGCGGTCCAGAATGGCGGTGCGCCCTTCCAGCGCACATTGGAGCGGCAGAGCCTGATACCCAGACGCGTTTCGCCGGAAAGCCACAATCCCAGCCGCTTCCAACGCTCCGCCTCGATGGACAGGAGCCAGATCCGGGCACAGAGCCAAAAGAATCACCCCAGCCGGCTGGAGGCTGTAGGCCAGCGTCGATCCCTGGCCTCTGTCCATGTGCAGCCAGCCAGCGATGAGCAGCTGAAGCCCCTGGCCACCTCTACGCCGCAGCGTAAGATGCCAGTCCAAGAGAGCAATCAGCAGCAGCAGCAGCAGCAGCAGCAGCAGCAGCAGGCCAGTAGCGGTCATCAGAATGACTGGGAGAAGCTGAAGGCCATCAAAGAGGTGACCGATCGTCAGCTTTACCACAAGGTCTTACAGCAGCAGCAGCATCAACAGGGACAGCAGCAGAGTCAAGAGAATATCTACGAGCATCTGCAACCGAATCAGCTGCAGCCCGTCCAGCTGCAGCCCGTCCAGCAGCAGCCCGTCCAGCAGCAGCAGCAGCAGCAGCAGCAGCAGCAACAGTTTGTCAGAGGTTCGTTGCAGCGCAACACCTTCTCGGGAATCAGCGGCCGCAATCGTCAGGTGATGATACTCGACGGCACACCAATAATCCCTGTCCAACAGATGCAACAGCATCCGCAACAGCAGGCGCCACCCGCACGCTGCCAGAGTGTGATGGACAACATGATCCAACAGGCGAGTCCCAACCAGATGCACACACGTCGTGGCTATGAGAGCGAGAGCGAGGCGACACCCAGCGATGCAGCCGCGACGGTGGTGATGCGTCGCTCGAGCAGTGCCTCCAGCCGCCGGATTGGCGGCCTCCTCACACGCGAGGAGATACTCGAAAAGGTCAAGGAGTTTTGCCGCAAATCCATTAGCCGCACGCCGCTTCCCGCGGCAAAGATGCAGCCCATCTATGAGAGCCGCAGCCAGAGCCACAGCCAGAGCCAGAGGAGTCCCGCCTCCGCTTCAGTCGCCGCGGCGGACACCTCGCCCGTCTCGTACGCCTCTGTGGAGACCAGCAGCCACAAGCGTTCCGCCTCACAGCTGAGCGCCGTCGCCCGGCCTCAGGTGCCGCTTCGCGTGCAGAGCCTGCCACAGTCGCGTTTTGTGCCCGTATCAGCCGCTGCCTCGCCCATTTACGCGCACGTGAACAAGCGCAGCAGCCTGCTGTCCAACGACTCGGAGCAGTATCTCTCCAGCCAGCAGCTGCCACAGCTGATGAGGCTCACACCGACCGAGTATGTGCTGGTGGAGACGGGCGAGGGGCTGCAGGCCGCCAAGCTGGTGGACTATCACCACAACAGTCTGTACATGCAGCCAAAGTTTGTGGCCAGCCAGAGACAGGGCCAGGGCACCTATGTGCTGCAGGATGGCCGTGCCACGCCGCTGATCCTCGAACGTGCCCCCAGCGGACAGAGTCAGATCTATTGGACGCCACAGCATCACCAGCAGCTGCAACTGCAACAGCAGCACCAGCAACATCAGCAGCAGCAACAGCAGCAACAGCAGCAGCATATTATGCAACAGCATCTCCAGCAGCAGCATCAACAGCAACAGCGTCTCATGACAATGCCCCTGAGTCCGCGAGGATATCCAGTACCAGCTCCACGCCACACCATGCCCATGGGTGCAAAGGGCATGGCGCCCGCTTCGAGGAGCCTCACTCTGCAGCGGGTACAGTCCAGATCCAGTCCACAGGGGCGACACGCCTCATCCGACTGGGAGCTGAGCTCGGAGGCTGGCGAAGTTCGGCGCATCATGGAGAAGAACTTATAAGGTGAGTTTTTCCGAATTTTCTCGATTGTTGAGACTTTTTTTAAATCGAATAACTAACCACAGTGAAAGTGGTGGATTTTCCAGCAAAAACACACCGTAGTCGAAACTATAAACTTACCTCGTGATTTTAGGGAAAAAGATATTGAGGAAATGAATGCCGTTCTAGAAATGTAATTTAAAATGTTTTTAAAACAAAGTCTGGACATTAGCTAAAGGAAATAAGGTATAGATAGGGTATAAATAGGCTCTTTCATTCATAAATATGTTCCTGATATGACGTCCTGTATGACGAAACCTTACTTTACAATCAATCCAATAAAGGGGAAGGTTTTTATTTACACTGAATTATAGAAAATTGATTCATAAATCGGATAAAAGTATATATTCAGTGTTATCAGGCCCAACTAGCTTGTAATATTTAAAAGAATATCAAAATTAACCAAAATCATTTTCAACGGTACGTTTACGGTCTATGTTGAAAATTAGACTTTCATTTCGGTATATTTGTGATTTACTGACGGTATATTTTGTGGATAAATCTGCGCGGTCACACTGCTCGTGACGTTTCGCTGCGGGAGAACTGCGACGTTTATTTATGGTTTTTATCTCAAATTGCGACAACTAAGGAAAAGTGTCACTAGCTGCAGAGAACTGTCCGTCATTGCGTGATTCAAGGTAAACAGAACGAACTACTTGTCCAGTGAATGGTTTTAATTGAATGATAGAAATCAAATGAAAACAAAGTGCACACACATGCAGACAAACAAACAGATGTGCTGAGACTCACCCATACATAGCACGTACATTGTATACATACATAAATGCATTTTTTGCTTTGTTTTGCTTTTAAATACAAATTTAAATTGTAAAATATAAGACATATGAAAAATCTGCAAAATTGTGCGCATATGTGTGGGTATATGCAGTTGCGTGTGCATGTATACCGACAGCCCTGAGAGCCCCAGCAAACGCAAAATAAATGCAACAGTTCATGCGCGAGCGAGATAGCCAGCCGCTCCGTTCGTGTGTGCGTGTGTATATTTTAGGCCTCGTTGGAAGGTCACGCGCTGCAGGAAATGCACTGCTCCCCCATCCTGCTTTATCCTGCTGAAGAGGCAGGCAGACAACACTCTCGTTATCTCCTTTGTTTTCCTGCTGCAGGAAGCTCTGTCCTTTTCAACCCTACTTTAGGCTGCATTCCACTGCTGCCTACCTTTTCAGCTTTTTATTCTTATTGTCAGCTGGATGCAGTTTCGACAACAACTCACAGTAAAAAATTTAAAACATAGTTTTATAAATTATTTACCCAACGATTTCCTCACATTTCCCAGGCAAAGATAACAGCATGGACGAGGACAGCAGCTGTAGCAGCAGCAGCGGTAGCGATAAGCCCAAATCCCACTCGAAGTCAACATCCACCGAGGACTCGCTCGGCGTCAGCACAACATCATCCACATGGACCATTCTGCCATCGGACAGGATCGAGGAGGTGATGGACAAGCTCAACAGCAACGAGGAGGCCAAAGTTCCAGGGGAGTTTCAGTGCGGCGACACCGAAGATAAGCATGAAAACGACAGGTATGCAAATATAGAGGTAGAATTATTCTGAAATAAAAATATTATCTTTCCATGGAACAGATGCAACCTTGCCGTGGTAGATGACTCCCAGGCGGATGATATTTCCGATGGCATTTCCATCATCAGTGACTGCGAGAGCACCGATCGCATTTCCCCCCATCCCTTTCTGCGTGACACCCTGGCCGACCTGAACTTCAACGAGCTTCCCAACACCCCCATACGGCTCAGTCACAGAGATATGGGAGGAGTGCTGCCGCCGCTTCCACCGCCGCCGCCGCCACCGCACAGGCAGCGACGCCACAAGCATACCGAAACGGAGCCGTATGTGGAGCCAGAAATGAATTTCTTGCAGCAAGAAACTAAGCTTGAGGCCCTATATCGTATGTATCCGTTGATGCAGAACAGCCTCACGGCCGTCTTCTATGTGGGCGCCACCCTGGCCATTCTGGGCTTCATCGGCAAGCTGCAGCATCCAGAGTGGCCGGGTCTTGGCAACGACAAACCCATAGCCGAGCTGGAGCGCCGACTGGGCGAGCTGGAGATGTCGAACAACCTGATGCGAGCCGAAATCGATATAATGTCCAAGCAACTGCAGTACCTAAGCTCCGGGCAGGGTCCAGCCTATGCCCCAGATGGAGGAATGTACTACAGCAATGCCTATGGCCAAGACCAGGACAAAGGGGGAATGCGTCAGGGCAAAAAGTACAAGAAATTTAAGGCCTGGCCAGGGCTCGGCGACTCCATGGAACCGATGGACATAACAAAGCAGGATCTAAAAAAGGCACACAAATGCAGCGATGGCCAGTACGTGCAGGTTGCCTCCATGTGCTTGGAAAGCCCGCTGCCGGCTCCCGGATCTCTGGTAGATGAGATCGGTGATGCTGTCCACGATGTGCTGCAACAGTCTCAAGCCTTTCGCAATTTTGAAAAGGTCACCGAGAAACTGGGCGCACTAGGCACTGGAGGCGTCGATGATGAGGGCGACGTCACTAGTACAAACGAAGCAAAGGCTTTCCATCCAGATGGTAGAGAACAGGCAACAGGCAATTACAATGGCAATGGCAATTCCCATAAACAACCCAAGCCGAAGGTGGATCGGTACAATGACAAGTACTCGCCGAATGCCTCCAAGGATCGCTACAATGACAAGTATAATCCGAATCACTCGCACGAGGGCAAGCGGGACAATAGTCGCGGCAGGAGCAAGGAGGAGGATTATTCGAAGGAGCACAACAAGAGGCGTCACAACGATGATGCCTCCGGTAAGCGTGAGCGCTTCCACAAGAACGGCAAGAAGCAGCGCCACGCCAACAGCGGTGAGCGTGACGAGAGCGACGGCAGCGGAGAGTGGCATGAGAAGCTGATGCAGCAGCGCGAGCAGAGTCGCCACAAGCGTGACCAGAAGCGAAAGGACAACAGCAATTGGTACATTGAGCGCGGCAATGGCCGCGAACAGGCGCGCTCCAGCGAAACAGGACGCTGAATGGAACTTCATGGAAGATGTTTGGATGTTGGCACGCATGTATTTTAATCCCAAATGTTAGCTTAAGGACAACCTACGCGCCGATGCGTATATGGATTTTTGTGTGTTGGTTTCGAACCTAGCTTATGTATATCCTTTTCGACAATTGCTACCAGTACAGTGCGTTTCGAGGCAATAAGACAAACAGCTAGTTAGTCAGGATAGAAAGAAAGTATCTCAAAGGGAATGACAAAAATTTTTTTTTTTTACTTTTCCTATATTTGTATGTGTGTGTACTATATGTAAGTTTTATTATAGTTTCCCACGGTTCTTAAATGGAGTAATTGTTTAATATATTGTGCTTGAGAAACCTTCTAAATGTATATGTTTTTAAAGTGATTATCAAAAGAAGCCTCATGGCTTTTCCATTTTTATTTACCTGAAGAAACGTTCCTTTTTATGAATTGTTTTTTTTTTTGTATAGTTTCTCATTGTTATATTATATTTTGAAGTAGAAAATCATGAAAGGGCCAACGATTTTGTATTGTAAAATATATTTTCCTTTTCGCAACCATTATATTTTATGTTTTTCGTATAGATTTAGATGGTTCTATAAAATGTTTTTAATTCGATAGATTTATGTTTTTAATTGTCAAAATGAAAAACAAAGCTTAATCTTGATGTGCTGTCTTTTTAGCAAGGAAACGCACTGTGCGGCTTGAAGGCTTGTCTTAAGGCTCAAGCGATGCACGTGCTTAAAACGAAAAATTGTTTATAAATGTTAGATACTACACGGGTCTTCGGTTTTGACGAAGCTAGAGGCATATACTCCTACTACTCCCAGAAACTACATCCCCCTCCACTCCAAAATATTTAAAAAGCAAACGCTTTGTATGTATACAGTTGAAGTCGACCATGTTGAATAATCTTAATGTATTTTGATGTATGTCATATTACGACGTATGAATATCCTATATGTATAAAACGGTTCCATCCGCTTGTGGGTGTGGTTCCTTGCCTAAGTTCCAGCTCAACCTAAGAGATAGACCCTAGCCCCCAGCATCCCAGCGTGGGGTGTGGGTCCGTCATTAAAGCAAAATCAATTTCCTTTCAACGAGTATAACGAATCCCTTTTAATTTTTGTATTTTTTGTTTCTTTTTTTTAACATTAGAAGCTTTCGCTAAAGTAATATACATATTACCATATAAAAATATATATATTTGTGATACATATACTTACATGTTTTTTTTGTGCTTAGACTAGAGGAATAATTTATAAATTATTGTACCATAATAATACCATTAAAATCAAAACGAAGTCCTTGAAAGCCAATTTGAAAATAAAAACGAAATATTTTTGTATGCATGTTTGTTCGTTTCGAAATTTGAGAATTTATTGATGTACATATGTATGTATACTACGTCTATGTATCTATTTATGAGCATGTCGGTGTACCCCAAATATCTTGCAGAAATAAATAAACTATCCCAAAAACCCTGATACAAACGACTTTCTTAAAATTGTATTGTGGGTGTTTTCAGGTTTTCTAATAAGAGATAATTTGCATTCAGACATAATACCCAAACAGATCCAACAGCTTAAAAACAGCTTTCAAAGTGTCTGAGCTATATTATATTCATATAGACAGCAAGAAAGGATCGTTTCCAAACCTATAAAGCATACAGAATCCTGATCAATACCAATGTCCCTGTCGTACGCCTATTTCTCAGCTTAAAAAAAAAACAAACATAAAAGGGGAAAATGAAGTTTTATTGTATTGCATTGTGTTGTATTGAAACGATTTTGAGCCGAGGATTGTTTCTACTCACTTGACTTGAGTTTGCCTGGGTCTTGACGGGTGGCTTTGTCATGACCTTGGCTCTCTCTCCTTGAGCGTTTCTTTCCTTATCTTCGTGGTTCGTATGAATTTCGTTGATTTTTTCCGTAGAATCAGAGGATTGTAAAAAATGTAATATTGTGTAGGTGTGGGAGTGGAAGTTTATACTGGAACTTCCAGACGCTTTTGTTTTTTACACGTACTGTACAAAATTGTGTATGTTTTATGTACATATGTATGTACGTCCACCCGCTTGAAGGACGAACAGCTACATATGTATGTAAATGCAGAATGCAGGCCAACAATATTTTTGGAGCACTCTACTGTTGTGTTAAAGTAGTCTATGACGAAAATATATTGTACATATGTAAATACATACAAACATGAATGTGGACCCTTATGTATGTATTTATGTATGTAGATATGTATTAACATACATATGCATGTAAAATGTATGCTACTGTGCATGCACTTTCGTTTCTCATTCGACTTTTCTTTATTCTAGGGCATGCGGCCAAGTGGGGGCGGGTTTTGGGCTGTTGGAAGATTGTCTGTGTTCTGTGTGCGACCCGCACAAACCTTTTACCGGGCTTTCGCATTGTCCTAGCTCTTTTATTTTTACTACGAATAGACCACACACACACGGTCACATTTCAGAGAAAGCTTTGCATCCCCGCCCACACTCCTTAAAAAAGAGTGCAAGTGTGTGAGTGAGTGACAGAGAGCAAGAGTGGTCGTGAGAGCGGGGAGAGTGAGCGACTACCACGATTCGAAAACAACAAATCAACGATGAAAGCGCTTCGTGAATCACGCTGTGTGCCAAAGTATATTTTAATATGGTGAATCTTATACACTGAATCTGCTATGCCATTAGCAAATTTTTGGTATCCAGTTAAGAGCAGAATATAGTGCTGTGAGTGCTGAACGCACTAGTGCAAAAAAAAAAGGATTGTAAAAAATCACAAGCTTAATTTGCTTAGGTAATTGGAATAACTATATATCATTGTATCTACAAGTAATACGTTTTCTTCCTTTTGCAATTACGTTTATTTTCTCGATACAAAAAGACGATTACGAGTACAAAAATGTTCCGTGCAAACCAAACTTTCAGTTTTCACACTTTTTTTCAGAGAGTAAAAACAAGAACCTGTCTGAGTATGATGTTTTTCAGCGCACACAACCACATCTATGGACACATAGATTTATCTCGCTCTGACTGCGGGCATAAAACAATTCTTATATCAGCAACTGTCATAAGAGCACTCTCTGCTCATGCCTTACCTTGCGCAGATGTAGCCTGCTTAGTGGTTTACTACAACGGGACTTTCAAGAACCACTGACGTTCACACGGCGTTTTGCTGTTGGCGCGCGCGATACCCATTAAGTAACGGGCAGATGAGGCGTTTGACAAAAAGAAAAAAAAACGTACACACAAAAATTTGAAACAACCAACAAATAAATATACACCCCACTCACAAACACAACCGCATTCGAAATCTAAAAAAACAACGGAACGGAACGACACAGAAGAACAATTGCTGCAGCAATTGGAATAAATCGAGGATTATACAACCCGTGCTACGCTTCATCATCATCGTCATCAGGCAGCAGCCGCATCCCAATCAATCAACCAATCGAATTCGGTACATATTACTGCAATGCTTAGATAAGACTTTTAAACCATCAAAAAATGCAAAGATATATTTTGTATTTTCAAATGTGCTATGTAAGTATACATATACGAAGGCTGGATAGCTATTATACACGAACATACAAAGGCAATAACAATAATTGAAATGGAAATGCCAATAGTAGGAGCACATGGATATACATACATATGTACATATGTGTTCGCCGCTCAGTGGGGCAGTGTGGTGCTGCTCCAGTTTGTGCTCCCAAGAGCGAGACACAACGGGGACAAACCACAGCTGTTTCTCTCTCTCACGCAACTGGGTGCGTAGCAAGCAGCTTTTGAGCTACAGAAGGAGCAGCAGTATCTAACTCTCTCCCTTCTCTCTTGGCTGACAGCTGATAGATGCAGAACCAAAATGAACGAGAAGTAGGGGAAAGTATATACCGTTGCATACATCATGTACATAAAATCTGCCGTTCGATTTTGAGGGGGAACATCGTCTCTAGAGAAAAAACCCCATTGACTGCAGCTGTTTTTGCAGTTCTTTGTAGAGCCCAGAAGACCAGTAAGCAAAAGCCCCAGCGTCATTTGACATTTAAGCATACAACAAAATAGATATAAATATTTACAAATGTACACATGTATGTATGTATACGAATTCACAAGTACATACGCATGTACATGTGTATGTTTATCTAATAGATATTCCGTTTGGGAAACTATTTGTCGTTTCCATTTACGAGTGTGCCAGTGAGTGTTTGTGTTTTCGGGCGTTTATAGATAAACGTACGAAAAAATCATGTGCTTTTATTATTTTTGTGTGCTTTTTTTTTCGTGACGTAAAGAGTTGCGTTCCTACCGCATGAACAGCTGATGTTGTCGTGACTCTGAAAATGTGCATACAAATGAAAAAATTGTAGAATATCTCAATGTCAAAACAAAATTTCTCCCACAAATTCCTCGAAATCGGATAAAAGGTAGAGAAAGAAGGAAGACAATACAAAAGGAATGTCAATAAGTCCCTCAACAACCACACACGCATATGTATACACACGCAGACGTTCGATCAGCTGTTTTGTGTTGTTTTGCCATGGGCAAAAAAATATCTTGAGCGAAAAGTTTAGCCATTTCGTATTGTAGTGGAGAGTATGAATCTTTGCTGGTACTACTTGTGTTTGGTGTGTGTGTGTGTGTGTGTGTGTGTGTGTGTGTGTGTGTGTGTGTGTGTGTGTGTGTGCGTGCTGCTCTGTCTTTGGTATGCGTGTGTGTTTCTCTCTCTGCCTCTGATAGAAAAAAGGTATATTAAAAGACGGTAGGGTCGTCCCAGAGCGCAGTTAAATGGTTCAATATGAAACAAAAACTCAACGCTAAATTTGTATTATCTGCTTCATTTGCCGCAAGATATTATTCAAGAGAGAGGCGAATACATGTACATATGTATTTACATACATCTCAATTTCCGAACAATGTTGCTGGTTTTGTTGCTGGTTATGACCAGCTTTTCATCCATTTAAGTGTAGTAGACGACCATTACTTGGTCGACTGAGTGA